ATTATATTATATTATATTATATTATATTATATTATATTATATTATATCTCCCTAGCTATCTAACTCTGTATCTCTATCTCTGTCTGTTCATCTTTCTGTTTCTATCACTATTTCCATACTGGTTTCTGAAGAAATAATTTTCTTGAGAACTTTAAGGACCTCTCATTAATTCATTCATTCCTTCTATTAGACAAAGCCATATCCAATCATTTTTAATGAGATTCCTGCTCTACTTTGGCCCCTGCTAGGATCCCTAAAGAACAACACCCATGAACTACTAGAAGTCCTCTGAGTTGGTTATTTTCATAAGGCATATCCTTAAATATTTGCAGGCATCTACCTCATTGCTTAGATTTGCCATTATTTTAGGTATACGTTGCAGTAATTATATAGTTCCAGATGCTAAAATTTGTATTATTTTCCTTATGCCAAAAAAGAAAAATGGTGCCTTCGAAACAGCATATATTTATCATTTTTCCACAGGGAGTGGATTGTGTTTAGAAAAACTGTGTCTTCTGATCTATGCTCTCTAGGCCATAAGGTGTTAGGTGACAGCTATATAGGGAAATCTCTTCTTCCAAGGTCTTTTGGGTTGTTGAAAATTTTTTATAGCCTTATGACTACATGGCAGAGAGTAATGACTGTTGGGTACAGATCGCTGAGGTACAAAGCAGTACTGAAAGGTCCAAAGCATTTCCCTGCCTGGAGGCCCACTCCATGGTCAGTTACTAACAGTACAGCTCCCTGTTTCGTCAAGGGTAGCAGGATATTTTATTGAAGCAGATTGTTTTAGCTATTCTGGGTTTCCTAGGATTCAATGAAAATGAAGAAACAACATACCCAAATTTATGGGACACAATGAAAGCAGTGCTAAGAGGAAAGTTCATAGCACTAAGCGCCTTCAAAAAGAAATTTGAAACATCTCATGCAAGCAACTTAATGGCTCACTTAAAAGCCCTAGAAAAAAAAAGAAGCACACACCAAAGAGGAATAGATGGTTGGAAATAATCAAACTCAGGCTTGAAATCAACAAATTAGAAACAAATAAAACAATTCAAAGAATCAATGAAACCAAGAGCTGGTTCTTTGAGGAAATCAACAAGATAGACAAACCCTTAGCCAAACTAACTAAAAGGCAAAGAGAAACTATCCAAATCAACAAGATCAGAAACGAAAAGGGGGACATAACCACAGACACTGAAGAAATTCAAACAATAATTAGGTCTTACTTCCAAAGTCTATATGCCACAAAATTGGAAAATTTAAATGAAATGGACAATTTTCTTGACCGATTCTACATGCCAAAGCTGAATCAGGACCAGGTAAACCAATTAATTAGTCCTATATCCCCTAAGGAAATAGAAGCTGCCATCAAAAGTCTACCATGCAAAAAAAGCCCAGGCCCAGATGGTTTCAGCGCCAAATTCTACCAGACCTTCAAAGAAGAGCTAACACCAATACTCTTCAAACTATTCCACAAGATAGAAACAGAAAGAACACTACCAAACTCATTCTATGAAGCCACAATCACCTTGGTACCTAAACCTCACAAAGACTCAACAAAGAAAGAGAATTTCAGGCCAATCTTCCTCATGAACATTGATGCAAAAATACTCAACAAAATACTTGCAAACCGAAACCAAGAACACATCAAAGACATTATCCACTATGACCAAGTGGGCTACATCCCAGCCATGCAGGGGTGGTTCAATATACGGAAATCCATCAATGTGATCCACATAAACAAACTGAAGGAAAAAAAAAAAAAAAAACATGATCATCTACTTAGATGCTGAAAAGGCATTTGACAAAATCCAACATCCTTCATGTTTAAAGTATTGGAGAGATCAGGGATACAAGGCACATACCTGAACATAGTAAAGGCAATATACAGCAAGCCTATAGCCAACATCAAACCCAATGGAAAGAAACTTAAATCATTCCCACTGAAGTCAGGGACAAGACAAGGCTGTCCACTCTCTCCATATCTTTTCAACATTGTTCTTGAAGTCCTAGCAAGAGTAATAAGACCATTGAAGGAGATCAAGGGGATACAAATTGGAAAGGAAGAAGTCAAAGTATCACTGTTTGCAGATGATATGATAGTATACCTGAGTGAGCCCAAAAACTCTACCAGGGAACTCCTAAAGCTGATTAACACATTCAGCAAAGTGGCTGGATACAAAATTAATTCAAAAAAATCAGTAGCCTTCCTGTATACAAAGGACAAAAGGACCAAGAAAGAAATTATGGAAACAACACCCTTCACAATAGCCACAAAGGACATGAAGTACCTTGGTGTGAACCTAACCAAGCAAGTCAAAGACTTGTATGAAAAAAAATTTCCAGTCTCTGAAGAAAGAATTAGAAGATATCAGAAGATGGAAAGATCTCCCATGCTCATGGCTTGGCAGGATTAACATAGTAAAAATGGGCATTTTACCAAAAGCAGTCTACAGATTCAATGCAATTCCCATCAAATTACCAACACAATTCTTTACAGACCTTGAAAGAAAAATTCTCACCTTCATATGGAACAACAAGAAACCCAGAATTGCTAAAACAATTCTCTACAGTAAAAGATCTTCAGGAGGTATCTCCATCCCTGATCTCAAGCTGTAGTATAGAGCAACAATACTAAAAACTGCATGGTACTGGCATAGAATCAGACTGGTGGATCAATGGAATTGAATAGAAGACCCTGACATAAATCCACACTTATGGACACCTGATTTTTGACAAAGATGTCAAATCCATTCAATGGAAAAAAGACAGCATCTTCAACAAATGGTGCTGGTCTAACTGGAAGTCTACATGTGGAAAATTCCAAATAGATGCATACTTATCACCCTGCACAAAACTAAAGTCCAAGTGGATCAAAGACCTCAACATAAAACCAGACACACTAAACCGCTTAGAAGAAAAAGTGGGGAATACCCTTGAACTCTTTGGCACAAGAGACAACTTCCTGAACAGAACACCAACAGCACAGGCTCTAAGAGCAACAATCAATAAATGGGACCTCATGAAACTGAAAAGCTTCTGTAAAGCAAAGAATACTGTCCTCAGAACAAAACGACAGCCTACAGATTGGAAAAGGATCTTCACCAACCCTATATCTGTCAGAGGGCTAATATCCAGTATATATAAAGAACTAAAGAAGTTAAACAGCAAAAAACCAAGTAATCCAATTAAAAAATGGGGAAGAGAGCTAAACAGAGAATTCTCTGCAGAGGAATATCAAATGGCAGAGAAACACTTAAAGAAATGCTCAACCTCATTAGCCATCAGGGAAATGTAAATCAAAACAACCCTAAGATTTCACCTTGTACACATCAGAATGGCTAAGATCAAAAACTCAAGAGACAACACATGCTGGAGAGGTTGTGGAGAAAGGGAAACCCTCCTCCATGGTGGGAATGTAAATTTGTACAACCACTCTGGAATGCAATCTGGCACTTTCTCAGACAACTAGGAATAGTGCTTCCTCAAGATCCAGCCATACCACTCCTAGGCATATTTCCAAAAGAGTCTCAAGTACACAATAAGGACATTTGCTCAACCATGTTTGTAGCAGCCTTGTTTGTAATAGCCAGAAGCTGGAAACAGCCCAGATGCCCCTCAGTGGAGGAATGGATGCACAAATTGTGGTATATCTACACAATGGAATATTACTCAGCAATAAAAAACAAGGAAATCATGAAATTTGCAGGGAAGTGGTGGGATCTGGAAAAGATCATCCTGAGTGACCTATCCCAGAAGCAGAAAGATGCACACAGTATATACTCACTCATATAGACATATAATATAGGATAAACCTACTAAAATCTGCACACCTAAAGAAACTAATTAAGAGGGAGGACTCTTGTTAAAATGCGCAATTCCTATCCAGAAAGGCAAAGAGGATGGACATCAGAAGAAGGAGAAAAGGGGGAAAAAGTCAGGAGCCTGACATAAAGGACCTCTGAAAAGCTCTGCCCTGCAGACTATCAATGTAGATGCTGAGACTTATGGGCAACCTTTGGGCAGAGTGCAGGGAATCTTAGGAAAGAAGTGGGAAACAGTAAGATCTGGAGAGGACAGGAACTCCACAAGGAGAGCAACAGAACCAAAAAATCTGAGCACAGGGGTCTTTCCTGAGACTGCTATTCCATCGAAGGACTATACCTGGAGATAACCTAAGACCTCTGCACAGATGTAGCCCATGGTAGTTCAGTATCCAAGTGGGTTCCATTGTAATAGGAACAGGGACTGTCTCTGACATCAACTGATTGGCCTGCTCTTTAATTACCTTCCCCTGAGGGGGAAGCAGCATTACCAGGCCACAGAAGAAGACAACTCAGCCCCTCCTGATGAGACCTAATTGACTAGGATCAGAAGGAAGGAAAAGAAGACCTCCCCTATCAGTGGACTTGGGGAGGGGCATGCATGCAGAGGGTGGAGGAAGGGAGATATTGGGACGGGAGGAGGGAGGGAACCACGGGGGGGGGGGGTACAACGTGAATAAAGTGTAATTAATAAAGAAAAAATGGAAAAAAAAGAAAGTTTAGAGTAGAAAATTAAAAAAAAAGAATATAACAAAGAAAAACAGAGGAAGCTGACAAAATGGAAACTACAAATGCCTGACAGACATAAAATGAATGATGCACAACCTGACACTCAAGCTCAGAGACATGGACTGAACATAGGAAGGCGTCAGTCCCTGACCATGAGATTACCAAAGAGAAGGCCTGGCAATGCCATTTCCTGGAGATGTCACAGGTTGAAAGAAGCAGATAGAAGAATAACCTGGCACAAAATTACAGAACAATGTCAACGGTCAGCAATCCACTCCCAGGACTATAACTGAAAAAAGGACATGCAAATGAGTATTTTCAGCAGCTCTGTTTTAACAGGAAAAAAGAAAGGAAGGAAGGAAATCAGAAAGAGAGAGAGAGAGAGAGAGAGAGAGAGAAAGAAAGAAAGAAAGAAAGAAAGAAAGAAAGAAAGAAAGAAAGAAAGAAAGAGAATCCAAGTGAGGGAATGGTGCAGGAAAAGGAGCGAGGAGAGACATGAGGGTGGATATCAGACCTATGGAGAGTAGGGGAGCAGCAGGAGGACAGAGAGCCTGCAGAGAGAAGAGAAACTATGGGTGGGCGCATCTCTGTGACATCCTGGAGACCTACTATAAGGTAGGCTCCTGGGAGGATATGAGGATGACCCTAGCTGAGATTCTTAGTAGCAAGCATCATGGAGACTAAAGAGGCTGTCCTCTAACTACAGAGGATGCTTAGTAGAGGGAGGAGAACACCAACCCATCTACAAAAACTTTGACCCAAAATTTACCCTACCTACAATAAGTTCAGGGATAAAGACTGAGCAGATAGAGCAGAGATTGAGGTAATGTTCAACAAATGCCTAGCCCAACCGGATACTCAGCTCATGGGAGAGAGCCAGCCCCAGACACTATTAATTATACTTTGCTATGCTTGCAGACAGGACCCTAGCATAGCTGTCCTCTGAAAGACTCCACCCAGCAGCGGGTCAAAACAGATGCTGAGACTCACAGCCACACATTGGGTGGAGTGCAGGGCCTCTTCTGGAAGGGTGAGGGCAAGAATAGGAGGACCAGGAGGGAACAGTAACTCCACAAAACTAGCAGAGCTAACTTACCTGGGTCCAGGGGGGGCTTGCAAAGACTGATGCACCAACCAAGGACCATGCATGGACTCTACCTAGGCCCCCTACAAATACATAGCCAATAGGCAGCTTGATCTTCTGTGGGTCCCCTAGAAGAAGGGAGGGAGCTACCTTTGATATTGACTCTGTTGCCTGCTTTTTGACCACTTCCACTTGGCAGGGCTGCCTCACCAGTCCACAGGGAAAAAAAAAGATGCATTCAGTCCTGATGTGACTTGATATGCTGGTATGGGTTTGGGTATGGGGCTCCCCTTATCTGGGGAGTAGGAGAAGGGGACAGGAGGAAGAGGGAGGGAGGATGGGACTGGGAGAGAAGGAGAGGGCTATGATGGAGATATAAAGTGCATATATATATATATGAAAGAAAAATCAATATATAGTGGACATATTATATAATCAATTATATATATGTATAATCAATATAATACAGATACAGTTACAGAATAAATGTATAGTATAAATGAATAGTTCATAAATAAATACTACTTTTTCATTTCATCTTTATGTATAGTATGTGAATTCCATTACTAATTTTAATAAACATCAATTGGCAAGTTTTTCACCTTGATTTTATTGGCCTTCATCTGGGCTTTTGCCAAGAGTGCGAAAGTGGAGATATCTGGTTTATTGACTAAGGCTGCTTCTAAGACTTGAATGGCCTTGTCATGGTTTTCACAAAATGAGTAAGTAAGTGCTTGCTGTACTGGGGTCAGCTCAATGAGACCTGAAAACAAAAGAAAGCTTACTGGTACCCCTGCCAGGTAGCAAGGAATTAGAATATAATTACATTAAGACAACCACTCAGTGTGACATTTTTTTTCCAACATGTAAAGAGAAGTGGACTAAAACCTTCTCTTACCGTAAAACAAAAATCACTACAGTTACAAACAGAAAAGTTTAATTATAAGCTTGGTATATTCCAAAATGAGCTCTCTCATTCACCAAGCTGTGAATTACTTTATGAGTTGATTACGTAGGAGTAACAGCAAGTTTCAAACTCTTTGCCTTTCATGCTATCAATATCGATACATAGATATAACAAATAGTAAAATTAAAAAAAATCTTCTATAACGTTTTTATTTTGAATTAGTTATATTTACCTTTGTTCATTTCTGCTACTTGATAAATAGTGAACTTGGCAAGATCAAAACACTTCATGAAAAGAAGATACTGTCCTCTGGAAGAAATGATAGTTTTTATTCTAAGCAGGTGGAGGGTAAGTATTCTGTGGGATTTTAAAACTTTCACTAAGTTCGTTCTTTGCAGACTTCATGTATGTATAAGGTACATATATAACCTCCACACTTTTCCCACTCCTTCTACCCGCACTTTGCCCCTGCTCTTCCGAAAGCCCTTGTCTCACACTCAGTCTTTCTTTGCTTTGCTGTTATTGTTACTGCTGCTGCTGTTGGTGTTGTTTAAATTTTTCATTAGTTAATTTAATTATAAACTAAATTTTAATCAATTTATTTATTTGTTCACTTTACATCCTAATCTTGGCCCCCACCCTTCTCTCCTCCCGATCCCACCCTCCCTTCATCTACTCTCCTCCCCCCCCTCCCCTATCCCTCAGAAAATGGGAGCCTGCCCCTGGTACCCACCCATCCCAATTCATCAACTCTCATCAGGACAGTGCCCATCCTCTTCCCCTCTGACCTGGCGAAGCAATCCTGCCAGGGCAGGGGGAATCAAAAAGCAGGCAACAGAATCCATGTCAGAGACAGCCCTCACTCCCCTTACTAGGGAACCCACATGAAGCCTGAGCTGTCCATCATTATATCTGTGTAGAAAACCTAGTTCCAGTCCATGCATGGATCTTGGTTTGTGCTTCAGTATCTGCAAGCCCTTCCAGGTCCTGGTTAGTTGGCTCCATTGGTCTTCTTGTGGAGCTCCTGTCACATACAGCATCTTTTATCCTTCCACCCAATTTTCCACAAGACTCCCTACACATTGCCCAATGTTTGGCTGTGAGTCTCAAAATCAGTTTCAATCTGCTGCTGGGTGGAGCCTCACAGCAGACAGCTATGCTAGGCTCCTGTCTGTGAGTGGAGCAGAGTATCATTAATAGTGTGTGGGTTCTCTCTCTAATGGGGTGAGTCTCATTCTGGGCCAGGGATTGGTTGGACATTCCCTCAATCTCTTCTCTATCTGTATCCCTGCACATATCTTGTAGGCAGGGAAAATTTCAGGTCTAAGTTTTTGTGGGTGGGTTGGTGGTGTTCCCCTCCCTCCACTAGGAGTCCTGTCTAGTTAAAGGGTGTCACAGTCTCCATGACCTCTGCTACTAGGAGTCTCAACCAGAATTGCTATTGTTTTAAGACTCACAGACTTAAACTGGATGAGCTGGCTCATGCCTGAAATCCCAGCACTCAGGAGGCAGAGGCAGGTGGATCTCTGTGAGTTTGAAGCCAGTATGGTCAACAAAGTGAGTCCAGGACAGCCAAGGCTACACAAAGAAACCCTGTCGGAAAACAAAACAAACAAAAAGGCTAAGAGACTTTTAACTAGCATCCTCCATGTGACCATGAGCTTAGAACTCAGTTGGGTGCCCAGTTGAAAGAGTTAAACAGATAAGAAAGGGAAGAAATATTCATATAAATTTCTGAAATGTGGTTTAATTTTAAAACACAAAATACATATTTACCAGAAAATGTCCATTGCATTTTCCAGGCCTATTAATCTTGAGAGATTATAGTTTTGGTAATAATATCTTACAAAATGTCTCTATAGCAAACTCTACTAAATTTGAAATACAATTTTGAGGGTCATTTTTTTTCCACTGAATTGGCACAGGGTTCTATTTATTACTTCTGTGGCTACAAACAGAGCCAGTGCTTAAAGGGTCCTACCTTACATTAAGGTGACATATGCTAACTGCTTAGCGAGTCATCTAAGGAGCATCACTTTCAGAAACTGTAATTTAGTGTTAGAGTACAGCAAAGGCAGTGATATGATTACATTAATATTTAATTAAAATTAAGAAAAAATGTTAAGAGGTAGACATTGTTTGGAGGTTAAGTGCAAAATAAGGAGAGTGAAAGAATAAACAGAGGAATCCCAGGGGTTTGCTAAGAGTTCCCAAGAAGAACTCAATTTCTGTGCTCATACCTTATTATATATAACTGGATCGCATCAGGCTGAAGGTGAATAGCACGAGATAATTCATTTACTGCCTTTTTCAATGTATGCAACTGTTGGATGATAAATAGAAATGTATATTCTAGTTGAAGCAATCGTCTCCTTTTTGATGTTTAGCCTCTCCCCGAATTTCTTGAAATTTTTGTAGAAACTTATCCAATTATAACTGATTTTCCTTTCTGCTTATTTTAAATAATTTCTTGTATTTTTGATATCATAAAATTATATCATTTCCCTTCCCTTTCTACACTTTAAATGCTCCCTTATACTATTCCTCTTTTTCAAATTCATGTCCTCTTTTTTCATTAATTATTGTATGTATGTGTTTATAAATACAAAAAAATATAGATGATTTTCTTAACTCACCAAAGCAAACAAAATTCATAAATACAGACAAGAAGTCTTATAATATGTAGTCTTTGTTTTTGAATTATTTGTCTTAAATGTTAAATTTCACATAGTTAATAAACTAGCATGCAAAAAGCAATATAAAAAGTAAATTCCACTTTACAAATAAGGTGAAGAAACAGACTTGAAACAAAATGAGTAAGTGAATGGATTAAACAAAACAAAAGAATGGTGCAAAAAAGAGGTCCATTTCACATTCCTATGGAAAGTCAAATTCATTCTATCCTTATTAATGGTCACAGAAACATAATTTGCATTTCAACACATTAAGAGGCAAACTACCACTAAAGATGTTGCCAATAAAGCACTACACATTGCCTTGTTTTTAATTGCTGAGTGGTATTCCATTGTGTAAAAGTACCACAGTTTCTGTATCCATTCCTCAAATGAGGGACACTTGGGTTGTTTCCAGATTCTGGCTGTTACAAATAAAGCTGCTACAAACATGGTTGAGCAAATGTCCTTGTTGTGTACTTCAGCATCTTTTGGAAATATGCCTAGGAGTGGTAGAGCTGGGTCTTGAGAAAGCGCTATTCCTAATTGTCTGAGAAAGTGCCAGATTGATTTCCAAAGTGGTTGTAACAGTTTACATTCCCACCAGCACTGGAGGAGGGTTCCCCTTTCTCCACAACCTCTCCAGCATGTGTTGTCACTTGAGTTTTTGATTTTAGCCATTTTGATGGGTGTAAGGTGAAATCTCAGGTTTGTTTTGATTTGCATCTCTCTGATGGCTAAGGACGTTGAGCATCTCTTTAAGTGTTTCCTCTATTGAGAATTCTCTGTTTAGCTCTGTACCCCATTTTTTAATTGGATTGCTTGGTTCATTGCCTTTTAACTTCTTTAGTTTTTTATATATTCTGGATATCAGCCCTCTGTCAGATATAGGGTTGGTGATTTTCCCAGTCCATAGGCTGTTGTTTCGTTCAGACGACAGGACAGTGTCCTATGTTTTACAGAAGCATTTCAGGTTCATGAGGTACCATTTATTGATTGTTGATCTTAGAGCCTGTGCTGTTGGAGTTCTGTTCAGGTAGCATTAAATTTGCAGGTAAATGGTGGGATCTAGAAAAGATCATCCTGAGTGAGGTATCCCAGGAACAGAAAGACACACAGAGTATATACTCACTTATAGTGGGTACTAGACCTATAAGATACGATAAACATACTAAAATCTGTACACCTAAAGAAGATAAACAGAAAGAGGACCTGTGCCCTGACATATTTGGTCGCTGTGGAGCTCCTGTCCTCTCCAGGTCATACTAACTCCCCCTTCTTTCATATGATTCCCTGCACTCTGCCCAAGGTTTGGTTATGAGTCTCAGCATCTGCTTTGATACACTGCTAGGTAGAGTCTTTCAGAGGCCCTCTATAGTAGGCTCCTGTCCTGTTCCTTGTTTTCTCTTACTTCCAATGTCCATCCTGTTTGTCTTTCTAAGTGAGGATTGATCATCTTACTCAGGGTCCTCTTTCTTGTTTATCTTCTTTAGGTGTACAGATTTTAGTATGTTTATCCTATCTTATAGGTCTAGTACCCACTATAAATGAGTATATACCATGTGTGTCTCTCTGTTCCTGGGATATAACCTAGAACCCCTGCTCAGATGTAGCCCATTGTAGCTCAGTATCCAAGTGAGTTCGCTAGTAAGGAAACAGGGACTATTTCTGACATGAACTTAATGGCTGGCTCTTTTACCTTTTCCCCACCCCCGAGGGAGGAGCAGCCTTGCTAGGCCACAGAGGAGGACATTGCAGCCAATCCTGAAGATACCTGATAAGCTAAGGTCAGATGGAAGGGGAGGAGGACGTCCCCTATCAATGGACTTGGAAAAGGGCAGAGAGGAGATGGAGGATGGAGGGTGGGATTGGGAGGGAATGAGGGATGGGGCTATGGGTGGGATACAAAGTAAATAACCTGTGATTAATATAAAAAAACTAAAATTATTTATATAAAACACCAAGAACCATGTGGTGATGGACTTCCTCCAGGGAGATTTCATTTCATGAAGAGTACCCAATCTACAAAAATAGCACCATCAACTGGGAGTCAAGTGTCCAAATATACAAGCTGATGGGAGACATTTCACATTTAAACCATAACATTCCATGCCTGGCTCCACATACTTGGTCCTACCTGAAACCCAGGAAAGTTTTTCCTGCACTTCTCATGTGCAGTGGTGCAGGGTAAACATTCCCCTTCCAAGATGATGAATGGGATAGAGCAAGAAAACAATCAGACCAAAGCAAAGCTGAGAAGCAGCACCTCAAATACCAAGTTCTATACTTCATGCCCAACGCTTGGATTACATCTTTTATGCTCCAAAAAGCTTGGGTCGTCCTACCCCTCCAGCTCTGTTGCCTGGGCACATGCAGTCTCTTTCATAGGAAGCTGCACTTGTGCCCGGATGTTGCCTTAGCGAAACATCTCCGATATTGTAAAGTTTCTACTGCAACTTGAGCTTTCCCTTCAGCGCTTCAAACACAACTAACGCTGGAGCCTCATGCTACCTGTTGCCTGCTCAGCAGCTTTCTGGACCTTGGTGCAAGCCTTGACAGTCAGCTTGCTCTTAAATTTTGCATGCCAGCAAAACCAGTACTACACAGACAATGTGAATGTGCTTCCAGCTCAATATATGACCTGGTCTCATTGGACCATAAAAGCAGTGGCCTCTGTGTGCCTTCAAGTCTAAACCTTAGAAAACACTTCCCTAGGTGCTCAGTTTTGAAGAAAGATACCCTGAAATCTCTTTTGTAGCTATTCTTCTTTCAAATTAATTTACCCTGATGCACACCTTGGAACTCTCTTGAAAGTTTTACCTTTAAGGAAACACTCCCATTTTACGTCATCACCGGAAGCCCGGTGCATTATTCTCTGTGCCACAGAGCTACCTGAACCTCCCCTGCTATAGTGCAAAGTCCATGCTTTCTTTCTGGCTGTTTAACTTATTGAGTTCTTTTTTTAAATTTTTTATTTAACTTTTATTAATTACACTTTATTTTATATCACCCCATAAGCCCCTCCCTCCTCCCCTTTCTGCATGCATGCCCCTCCCCATGTCCACTGATAGTGGAAGTTCTCCTCTCTTTCTTTCTGATCTTAGTCTATCAGTTCTCATCAAAAGTGGCTGCATTGTCCTAAAAAGTTCTTTGTATATTCTGGATACTAGCCTTCTGTCAGACGTAAGGTTAGTGAAGATCTTTTCCCGTTCTATAGGCTATCATTTTGTTCTGTTGACCATGACCTTTGTTTTACAGCACCTTTTCAGTTTCATGAGGTTCAATTTTTTTGATCATTAATCTTAGAGACTGAGCTCTTAGTGTTCTGTGCAGGAAGTTGTCTCCTGTGCAATGAGTCCAAGACTCCCACTTTTTCTTCTAACAGGTTTAGTGTGTCTGGTTTTATGTTGAGGTCCTTGATCCACTTGGACTTTACTTTTGTGCAGGGTGATAGTGTGGATATATTTGCATTTTTCTATATGTAGACTTCCAGTTAGACCAGCACCATTTGTTGAAGATGCCATCTTTTTTTACATTGTATGGTTTTGTTTCTTTGTCAAAAATCAGTGTCCATGGGTGTGTGGGTTTATTTCTGTGTCTTCCATTCAATTCCATTGATCTTTCAATCTATATCAGTACCATGCCATTTTTATTACTGTTGCTCTATAGGATAAACATACTAAAATCTACAGACCTAAAGAAGCTAAATGACAAGATGCTTAATTCTCATCCAGATGGGAAAAACAGAATAGACACCAGAAGCAGGAGAAGAGAGGGAACTGGAGGGACTAGAGCCTACCACAGATGGCCTCTTCTCAAAAGACTCCAACCAGCAGGGTATTGAAGCAGATGCAGAGACTCACAGCCAAACTTTGGACAGAGCACAGGAAGCCTTATCAAAGGACCTGGAGGGGAAAGGAGCCACAAAAGGAGACCAACAAAGCCAAAAATAAGCAGGGCCCAGGGGGACTGCAGAAACCGATGCATCAAAAACCATACATAGAAAGGACAATACCCCTGCTCAGATGGAGCACATAGACATCTCAGTCTCCATGTAGGTTCCATAGTAATGGGAGAAGAGACAATCTTTGACATGAACTTGGTTGTCTGCTCCTTGATCACTTCTCCCTGGTGGGACAACCTAGCCAGCCCACAGAGGAAGAGGATCCAGGCAGTCCTGATGGGACCTGATAAGCTAGGGTCAGAAAGTAGGGGAGGAGGACTTCCCCTATCATTGAACTAGGGAAGAAGGATAGCATAGGAAGAGGGAGTGAGGGTAGGACCAGGAGGAGATGGGAGAGTAGGATACAACTGGGATACAAAGCAAATAAATTGTTAATAATAACAAATGAAAAAAGAACAAGAAATAAGTCTTTGCTGTTTTAGTAAAATGCTTTGGAAGGCATTTTTTTAAAATTTTTTGTTTGTTCGTTCATTTTTAATCACAGCATAATTCAGCATTGAAACCGATATATCCAGAGATACGTATAAACAAGGGTGGAAAGTTAGTGACATGGCTGGCCTCGTTGTTTTTAAGCATAAAAGTAAAAGCCTGACTTATTTTCTGGCACAATCACTTCTATGATAGTTCTATCAAAAGCAGTAAAGAGCAGAAACAAGAAGATGAAGAGGCCATTGTAAACATCCTAGGAAAGAAATAGCCTCTTGTGCAGAGCAGTTTGTAGGAATGTTGTGTTCTGTGGGAGGTCAGGTCTGGTTACAGCTGTAAGACACATACTAATTATTGGATTACTAAGAATTCGTTACATGCTTTTAAATTTAGAACTTAAATTATAATTTAATTTTTTAATTGATAAAAATTGTAAAAATTTAAATTTAAAAAAGTTGTTAGTTATTAGGCCATCATTCTATATATATACCCTATTCTATGAAGCTACACACTTACCAGTACATACACACACACACACAAACACATACACAGACTTAGACCAACAAATTCCAAAAGGCTAACAGTAGTTTTACCAGCAAATAAAATTACAGGCACTTTGAAGATACGATTCTCGACACTTCCTGATCATGTATTCTTATTTGCATAAAATACAATGACTGTAATAGCTATATGTTGTTTTGTATCGAGAATTAAACATGTGCTAGAGATATTATAAAATGAGAATGGATGCCTCATCAATAGAGGCTTTGTAAACAGCTAATAATAGGTAACTGCATATGCTTAATAGCTATTGTTTATAAATCTATGAGCCTCTATGGAAATTAGATAAATATTACAAAAATTCAAATATTTTAAATTAAAAAAAAACCCCAAGTCTTAAATACCTTATGATAGGTTTCTGCTCTACAAAGATAGCTTTGGATATATAAAGGATCAATTCTAATTGCCTCAGAAAACCACCAAAAAGCTTCAGTGTAATTATCCAGGTGTAGTAGGTATACAAGGCCAATATTTATGTAAGCCACAGTAGCACTTCTAAACAAAAAAGAAAAAAATTAATTAAAACTTTAAATGTATTTCCAATGCTTTCAGCTATAAAAAGCTAATGAAATACATGAATCAATTGCAATTAGATATTATTAATGCTCTACTAAAGAAATGAAATTAGTTCACTATGTGACCTTAAAAAATAAGTGTCTTAGTTGAGAAGGTGGGGAAGATCTGGAAGGAGGTAGGGGAGGGGAAGCCATGATTGGAATATATTGTATGAAAAAAAAATTTCAATAAAAATTGGAACATTATTAATAAAAAGACTTTGTAGTGAATTAACAATTATGGGGTCTCTACTGGAAGCAGAAATAGTAAAGTCTCCTCGACTCTTAGCAAAACTTGAATCTTGAGTTACCTTGAATCAATGATGATTGTTTTTCAGCTCAAAAGTCTTTGTCAACAGAACTAAAATCTCTGGGCACAGGGGTCTTTTCTGAGACTGATACTCCAACCAAGGACCATGCATGAAGATAACCTAGAACCCCTGCACAGATGTAGCCCATGAAGCTAAGTGTCCAAGTGGTTCCCTAGTAATGTGGACTGGGACTGTTTCTGACATGAACTCAGTGGCTGGCTCTTTGATCACCTCCCCCTGAGGGGGGAGCAGCCTTACCAGGCCACAAAGGAAGACAATGTAGCCATTCCTGATGAGACCTGATAGGCTAGGGTCAGAAGGAAGGGGAGGAGGATGTCCCTATCCATGTGTCCCTATCCGTGGACTCGGGGAGGAGAACAGGAGGAGAAGAGGGAAGAGGGTGGGATTGAGAGAAGATGAGGGAGGGGGTTACAGCTAGGATACAAAATGAATAAATTGTAGTTAATAAAAAAAAATTTTTTTTTTTCAAAAAGTCTTTGCCATGGGCCCTAACTGTGAAAAAGAATCATTCTAAGGTTTGGTGATTTCAGGTTAAAAAAATAAAAACTCTGTTACATATAAATATTTATTAAACTGGTTTTCAATATTAAGAAAAGTTGTTTTCTCTCCTTAATCAAGTGACTTTTTTTTTTTTTTTTTTTTTTAGTATGGGACTGACCTTACATATTACTTTATTCAGTGTTTCTGCATTAAGACAAGAAAACTATGTCTTCTGTAGCTCCTGCCCATGGAAGCAGACTGTTGCAGAACTGAGGCTCTTCACGACCCTCTGGCTACACCTCCCAAACATCACTCTGCCTGGCTAGCACAAAAGGAACCACTGTGCTCCTCAGAGGCCTACAGTCTTATCTCTCCTTTTTCACTTTTGAACTTGAAAGCCATGGACTTAAATTTTCTTAAATCTATGCAACCTCTAAATTTTGCAAAACAACTGAAATGAGAAAGTCTTATTTTAGCAGTAACCTTATTTTAGCGTTATTCGAATTCTAGGGTGACTTTATCATTACAATCTCATTTTCTACAATGTTATCAATAATGAGGTAAAGCTTCCTTTTATTTTCTTCCTGATTTCATAAAATACTGAAATAAGTATGAAAAGACATACCTTTCGAGAAAAATAACAGTTTCAAAATCAGAAACTGCCAGCATCCAGTGTTTTAGTTGTGTGTAAAGTATGCCCCGATGTAGAAAGCAATTAAGATTCTCATAGCCATCATTTATGAGAGCTGAAGATACAAAACATACACTTCAGTTTCTAAACAATTATGAATTTCATTTGAGACTACAGCCTTCCTATTGCTTATGTTTATTTAACATTCCATAAACAATGTTATCTATGATGACTGTGCCCATTTGGTGGGTGGAAAATAATAATAACTTTTTTTAAAAAATGCTAACTATTCATTCAGTGGCTATTATGACTCACAAATTTATTAGAGCTGGTGGTAAACTCAGACATTCCACTCATTTTACAAATAAGAGGTCAAAGCCAAAGGGGACCAGCACACTGACACAAACTAGGATATAAGTCCATGGCAAAGGCGGGTCTAGAATTTAACAGCTGATGGAAGGGTGCTCTTGCTCACAGTGGCTTGGTGTTATCACAAAGAAGTGGGAGATAGTAAGACCTGGAGAGGACAGGAGCTCCACAAGGACAGCAACAGATCCAAAAAGTCTGGGCACAGGAGTCTTTTCTGTAACTGATACTCAGGCCAAGGACCACTCATGGAGATGGCCTGGAACCCCTGCATGGAGGTAGCCTAAGGCAGTTCAGTGTCCAAGTGGCCTCCAGGGACTGTCTCTGACATGAACTTATTGGCCTGCTCTTTGATCACCTCCCTCTGAGGAGAGAGCAGCCTTACCAGGCCACAGAAGACAATGCAGCCACACCTGATGAGACCTGATAGACTAGGATCAGAGGAAAGGGGAAGAGGAACTCCCTTATCAGTGGACTGGGGGAGGGGCATGGGTAGGGAAGAGGGTGGGTGGAATTGGGAGGGGAGGAGGGAGGGAGGTACAGGGTGGATACAAAGTGAATAAACTGAAACTAATAAAAATACAAATAATTAAAAGCAGAAACAAAACAAAACAAAAAAACCAAAGATCAGGAGTGGTAGCACTGGTCTAGAACAAGGCATATGGCACATGTCAGATCTCCTCACCTTTAAAGATAAGCAGCTTCCAAGAGGCTATTTAAGGAGAGAACACAGAAATGAGAAGGGCAGCTTGACTGTATATATTCCAAAGAGCAGAAACAAGAGGACAAAAATAGCCTCCACCTCAGATGAGTGTCCCTCACCAGGACCCAGCTTAGAGGTCACCTCACAAGTCTTTTGGTTACTAACACCCTCTTTGTGGTTCACATGATAGTGAATTGTGCAGGTTCTTATAAGAGTCAGTGCAAGTTATCTAAGCTTTCGAGTCCATTCTGGATTGAGAGGTTAGACTTTACACACACACACACACACCCTCACACATGCTCAAATTCTCACACACAAATTCTCATACACTTACACATACTCACACACACACACATACAAACACAAACACACACACATGCTCACACTCACACTCACACTCACATATACACACACCTCCATACTAAATTTGAGAAGCTTTGGCCACTGTTAGCAATGGCCATGCTACTGAAGCGAATAATCAATAACCTGAAGGCAACCTCACTGTTCAGTTCACATTGTGATTGGCTGAGCTAGGAAAAGCTTTCCTGTGATACTGGAAGAAAAATTATTCTTTTTTTTTTTTTTTTGAATTTTATTTTTTTCTTATCAGTTACATTTTAGAAAAATTATTCTTATAGAAAAATTATTCGTGTGATGTAACTACACTAGACTTTGTTTTTATCAGTAAAATTTGGATGATGATAGTAAATTCTTTGTATCATTATTTGAGTATTCACTGAAGTATTCTATATATTAGTACCTAGAACAGTGCTCAGAAAGTATTGAAGTTTCCCAGAAATGCCAAACATCATTAGCATAGAGCTTTGTTCTAATAGTGGATTATTTAAATCCTTGGGTTAATGTAAAAGAAATGGTTACGGCTAAAATAGAGCCAGTTTGCTCTGAATAATTCAATTGTAGAGATTTTGAATTGTTATGACAGCTTCCAAGATGGGAGGCTGATGGGGGAATATGAGAGTAAAGCTTTTAGAGAAAGAATAAAGAGGAAAGGATTCTCTGGATGGACCAGGTCAGTGGAGTCAGATTGGCTCACAGAACTCTTCAAACCTAAAGCATTAGGGGACAGAGTCCCATTCATACATAAGCCTCATTTGCTTTGACACTACACTGGGAATTGAAGAGTGAACTGAGAAAGTGCAAATCAGAGAGAACAAAGGCCACAGCAGCAAGGGAGAAGCCAAGATGGAGTCAGCTATGGGCCGAAATTAGATGTAAAGATATAGAGAGAAGCGAGCAGCAGTCTTCCTCCCTGCTTTCAAAGAACCCTTGGAAACAGACATGCAGCATGAGGTTCCTTTCCGCATATACGGGGCATTTAAGGTGATGGAATGATGTCGTAGTAAGGTGCTTGCCTTGGAGCACAAGGACCTGTGTTCTAGCCCCAGAATCCACGGGGGCTGGGGAAGCTCGGCATGGCAGCATTGCTGCCGGTAATCTCACTAAGGGGGTGGCTGAGGAGAGTGGACCCCTAGATTTGCTGACCATAAAACCTAGCCTGTTCGGTGAGGCCAGTGAAGGACCATGTCACAAAAACTAAATAAATAACATTTAAAAGAATTAGAGAGAAAAAAGAATAAAAGACAAAAAATAGTCATCTCCTGAAGTTGTCCTCTGGCCCCTACACGTGTGTGCAGACACATCAACAACACACATACACAAAACCAGTGTTTAAGCATGTGACTGTCCACAGTACTACACAGTAATCTCCATATCACATCCGTGAACAAACATGAGCATTCCCCTCTAGCAAGCGGAGCTGCTGCCGCTCATGTCAGACCCTCACACAGCTGAGTACCTGACACGCTGTAGTCCTGCAGCGCTCTCAGTGGATTACTCTTTCTAAATAAGCAGGCTCGGTAGTACAGCGCTAGCCAATTGTTGGGATCCAAGTGGATGGCAACAGAAAAGTCCTCGGTTGCCTGTTTATAAAAATGCCTTTTAAAATACGCTCTCCCCCGGCTTGTCCTGCAAAAAGAAAAGCATTTGAATGTGCACTGCAAAATAGGCATTCTCTTTTTATTAAACTTATCACCTAATGTCTAATTGTTTCTCTTTGCTTTTTAACGGAACTTAGTTGTGATGTTGCTGTCAAAACAACACAAACTTTTTATAGGGGCTCTTTGTTACACAATTAGTTATGTTTGTAAGGCAGCTTCTTGGTTATTAAGCTTTATCTTATTTCTTTTACAGGGGAGACAACTTTTTTAAAACACCTTTAAAAATTCTGTATTATTGATCTATTCTGGATGTTCATTTCATTTTTAGTGAAAGGAGCAATATTTGCACAAAAAAGGTTTGGGGTAGGATTGGGGTAGGAAAATATGAAGGTTAGTTCAAAATATTCTGAGACAGGCTTGTCTTATCACAATGACACATCTGTTATTGTAAAACATTTGTCTTTAGCCCATTAGCAAAGGGAAATGGCTGAGAAAAGCTTTTGAGACTAATGAACTTTGTTTTTGTGGGAGTCAAAGCTCATCACTCCAGAGCTATGGATGGGATAGGATATTAAGTATTCCAGTATGAACTCAAAGGGATTGAATCAAATACTGATTTAGTAAGAAAGAAAGCAGCATCTGAAGTAGATGGAGGAGGGAACTGGATGAGTGAGGATGTGGGGAGGGGAATCAGATTTGGGAAAAGGATGGGAGGGATGGGAGAAAGGACTGAAAACAGGAGGGGGGATCATCTCTGGGACACAGGAGGCTCCCAGGAGTTTATGGTGTGACCCTAGCTGAGACTTCTGGGAGCAAGGGATATGAAGGCTGAAGTGGTCACCTCCTATAACCAAGGGAACTTTTAATGGAAGGAAGGGGCCTCCAACCCACACACAACACATTAAACCCAGCCAAACAGTGACTGGGCCAATTTGAGTTGCATCCTATGAGAGAGAGCCCATCACTGACACTATTAATAATATTCTGCTATACTTGATGACAGTCACCTGAGTGGCTTCATCCAGCAGCTGATGAAAATAGATGCAGAGACCCACAGTGAAACAGTAGGTGGAGCTCAGGGAATCTTAAGGAAGATGAGGAGAAAGGATTGAAGGAGCAAGAGGGGTCAAGGACACCACAAGAAAACCTACAAAATCAGCTCACCTGGACCCATAGGGGTTCACAGAGACTTGAACCACCAACCAGAGACATCGTGTGACAGACCTAGGCCCCCCACACATGTGTAACAGATGTGCATCTTTGTCCTTGTGTGGGACAGCAGGAGCAGGGGCTGCCTCTGACTTTGTTGGCCATCTTTGGGTCCCTTTCCACTAACTGGATGGCCTTGTCCGGCCTCAACAGAAGAAGATGATACCCCAAGGTGGGCTGATAGCCTTGGAAGTCTCCCCCACTCTGAGAAGAAAGAAAGGGGTTCGAGAAGGAAGGGAAGGGAGGGGGGAGGGAGGGGTTTGGGGGAGGGTGGGATGGGAACTTCCTACCAAGATGTAAAATAAATAAATGCAAAAAAAAAAAAGAAAGTAGCATCAGCAGCTGTGTACTTGGAGAATTCACACGGATTGATTGCATGCTGTGAGAGCACCTCAAAAGGCTGATGCTGTAAGACCTGAAGGTAGGTCTAGTGAGATGTGGCTCTGTGTGGTGGCACAGGCCTTTAAGTCCCAGAAATTGGGAGGGAGAGGCGGGAGGATCAACAGTCTATGTGGCAGGTTATAAGTCATTCAGGGCTACATAGAGATTCTGTCTCAAAAAATAAATATATGATTTTGATTTGTTAGGACATGAACCAAGACAATTTTAAATGAAGTATTCAGTCTTCAAGGGTCTCAAGATGCCTTTTGCTTTTGAAAGACCTCTACTGGACACAAGCTGGGTAATTTTAGAGGTGAGATCCTTCTAATTTTCAAAGAACAGAACATGCCAAATTGTTGTTCTTTGTCCAGCAGTAGTCTGGGACTTGGCTGTCAGCTTCTGCATAAAGAACGTAGGAACCCTAAGATCAAAGGTTCCATTTCCCTCAGAAACAGCCAGAGTAATCAAAGTGAGGCTCATGCACTAGGTGAGGCTCCCACTCTTGCTATGCTGTTGAGAGAGATGGAAATGACATTTCTACTGGGTACAACAGTTGCTCTTTTATGATGAGATTGTCGGTATCAGACTTCTGTGAAAACTCGGGAGTTCCAGAAAGCTGTGAGGGTACCGAAATGTTATAGCCCTTTGGTTAAGCTACGTTGTACTTATGGCAGGGGTGCGGAGAAAGCCTGTACCTGCTTGGTCAACACAGGCCTGGCAAAGTTCAGAGCTAGTGGGCCTGAAGGTAGGTCTAGTGAGATGCAGTTTTGGTAGGCATGGAGGCGAGTCCAGGCCTGGCAGGTACTTTACTGGTAGTCAACACCAAGCTCATGGTGGTCATGCTCCAGCTGTCCTGACCAAAAGCCAAGCCCTGGGAGTTCAGAGGTGAATTTCCAGGAAGGAAAAACACCCTCTCTTCCCCAGAAAAAAAAATGCTGAATCTCAGTTGGCCATGGTGGAGGAGTGGAGCAAGAGATAATTTATTTTGTGAATCAAAGACTTACAAACTTTGGGCACTAGGAGAGGATCGAAGGGTGAATGTGTTTGGTTTGCTGGAACTAGAGCTAGAGGGCTAGGGATACTTAATTTATAGTACCTCATTTACATGCAGTAGCACAGTCCTATCAGAAGAGGCAAAACATAGTACTTAATTATTTTATGGGTAGAGAAAGAACTTCAGGTACAATTAAAGGTCATCGGCTGAAAGCCAAGACTCTCACTAGTATAGGGTGGGTGTTCCTGGCAATCCCAAGGTGCTTGCTGAACAGGTTTCTTATCAGGAAAGGATCAGGCCTGTAATCTTCCCTGAGGGCTACATGACACTCCTTATGGAATTGGGGGTTCCCTAGATCAGGTGAAGAGGGAACCCCAATGAGAAAGGGAATCCATCATCATAGACTGAGCTCAGAGGCCACCCAGAAACGCCAGATTTCGATCTTACCGGCAGAGTCTCACATCAAATTCAAAGGGCATCTGCTTGTAAGAGAAGACGAGAGACCTACTTCATTTTGATAAAGTAGAAAAGTTCTGAAGTTGAATTCAGATTACAAAACCACTGGCCTATCTCAATGTGAAATAGTAATGGCAAAACTTTAAAACAAAACAAAATTAAGTATATTTTTAATATTTCATCAAAAAGTATAATGTCCAAAAGCCATTTATTCTTCAAAATTAGAAAGTCGATTAATATGAACAGCTTGCAAATAAATCATATGAACATAATTTGGGGAGGGAATAAAAGACTATCTTTTTGAAGTAACTAAAAAATAAATGGACTATGGAAAATAAAAAAATAAATGGCTCAGAAATTATAACCACTACAATTTTGTTAGCAAAAAAGTAGTATCACTGACATCAAGATACTAAAATTCTTATTATTAATAAAATTGTTGACATCAATTTGTTAGTAAGAGTCAGGCAATTAGCAAAATTGACAAGGTGGGGAACATTAAATGCCATTTCTCCATATGAATAAAAAGGTTTAGATAAAGCAAATAGTCATTATTAACACTTTTGGAGCTCTAGGTCCTAAGCCAAAACTTGGAGCAACCAAGTTAATGATTAATGGATGAGGAAACATGCTGCATTTTAATAGGGGAACTCTGTCAGTCCTGCCTGGTTAGCATTTTCCATTTCCCAGATCAGTACGTAAAAGATAACATTTAGGCAAGCAGAAGATAGAAAAGGTGGCTGGTGAAGAAATAACACTAATCCATCTCAGGTTATTCCACAAAACAGAATAGAACAGAATGCTTGCAAATTCTTTTTATGAAAGCAGTGCTACCATAAAACCAAACCGAGATAAAGAAACTATTTTTAAAAATTACAAATATTGCTGATAAGCACAGACAAAAAAGAATTCTCAATTAAATGCTTGCAAACAGAATTTAAAATTAAAATAAAAAATCAATCATTACAATAAAGTTGGGTTCACTGCAGAGATATAGGGATGGTTCAATATAAGCCCATCAGTCAATGTAACCCATCACGTGAATGGACTCAAAGACAGAAATCACATGATCATCTCAAAAAATATAGAAAATGTCTTTGAAAAAAGCTAGCATATCTTCATGATAAAAGTCATAAAAAGACTTGGAATGAATGGAATACATTTCAACATAATAAAAGTTACACATGGCAAATCTACAGCCAACATGGTAACTAGGGAATAACTCACAGCATTAACAATAAAATCAGGCACAAGATTGCATACTCTTATTGAATATAGTGCTTGAAGTCTCAGTCAAAGGAATAAGAAATGACAAGAAAATAAAGTCAAAACAAGCAGAAAAGGAAGAAGTCCAAGTATCCGTACATGCAGATAAAGTGATTCTATACATAAAACACACTTTTTTTTCTTTATTAATTACTCTTTACTCACTTTGTATCCCCCCCTGTGGTTCTCTCCCTCCTCCCGTCCCAATCCCTCCCTTCCTCCACCCTCTGCATGCATGCCCCTCCCCAAGTCCACTGATAGGGGAAGACTTCTTTTCCTTCCTTCTGATCCTAGTCAATTAGGTCTCATCAGGAGGGGCTGCATTGTCTTCTTCTGTAGCCTGGTTCGGCTGCTTCCCCCTCAGGGGGAGGTAATTAAAGAGCAGGCCAATCAGTTCATGTCAGAGACAGTCCCTGTTCCCATTACAATGGAACCCACTTGGATACTGAACTGCCATGGGCTACATCTGTGCAGAGGTCTTAGGTTATCTCCATGCATAGTCCTTGGTTGGAGATTCAGTCTCAGGAAAGACCCCTGTGCTCAGATTTTTTGGTTCAGTTGCTCTCCTTGTGGAGTTCCTGTCCTCTCCAGATCTTACTATTTCCCACTTCTTTCCTAAGATTCCCTGTACTCTGCCCAAAGGTTGCACATAAGTCTCAGCATCTACGTTGATAGTCTGTAGGTCAGAGCATTTCAGAGGTCCTCTGTGTCAGGCTACTGAC